AATTACTTTTGAAATTTAATTTGTCGAAACAAATGGTTTCGGTACAATATTACCAATACTTTCACAAGAAGATTAAAAACCAGAACTTTCTTCCATTTCTAAGAATAAAAACAAAATAAAAAAAGAATTCAGATCAAAATCTTTCACTATTAACTTGCCGCACTGTTTACCGGGATATTTTACGGCAATACGCTTCATATTTATTTTTTCACTCAATTCACGTTTTATTTTGTTTCTAAAACAATATCTTCATTAATAAAAATATGTTATTTTTTAAACCTTCTTTGTGTGTTTCAAAATTAGTATTTTGTCTTTATAATTTACCAATTTAATTATGGTTCCGGTTCCACTAGCGATTATTTTTTTGTGATTTTCAATTCTAATTATTGTTTCTAGAGATATTTAGATTTTCAAAATAACGTGTATTTGAAAAACCTTTCTCTTTTAAAATGGAGATTTTACGTATTACTTTACCTATACCCATACGTATCTCTTTTTAAACGGAGAAAAATTCTTTTTGTTCATTATTTTTATTTAGTTGGCTTTTGTTTAGACAAGTTGCTTTTTTTTCTTTGAAATAAGATTTTATTATATAAAAAAACTTCTTACACACACACACACACACACACACACACACACACACACACACACACACACACACACACACACAGATTTTTGCAAATTAATGTTGATTTTTTTGCTGATAAAAAAATTGAATACTATTATATAAATAGAAACACTTTTATTAAATTTGAATCATCAGCGGGGTGAGTTATTTTACCTAACTTAAAACTATAATACTCTTTTTTAATTAATTAATTTATTCGTATTGAAATAGTAACATTAAATATTAATATTATTATAATATATGATAACAAACATTTCAAAGGGTGGATTTGCTTGATGAGATTGCTGACATGTGTGTGTTCTCGTGGCATTACTGGCTTTACATTTGATTTTTCGACAAGAATTGATGCATGCTTAAATATTCGTTCGGTATGCATAATCACGTCTATTCTCATGATTTCTATTTCTAAGATGACAGTTTTAACACACTTAAAGGTGTATGATGTCATATATAATGTCACTAGACTTTTCCTGCATCTTAACTATAGGCTATACGAAGAAAATATCAAAAGAACCTTAAAATCTTTAAAATTTATTATTGTCTTAAGGGCCTTAAAATTTTTCAAATGTAGACCAACCTCCTCCTTATTGAGGGGGGGGGGGGGGGAGTCTAGCCACGGCTCTACTGATTGCAATAAAAGATGTAGACGATAATACGTCCAATTATTTTGGACGTATTATCGTCTACATCGTCTACATTTAAGGAATAAGTTCGTTTTTGTTATTATTAATTTGATTTCTAAAAGTAGGAGAGTATGTTGACGTCACTGAATTTAAATAGGTGCTGTTTGAAAGCCGTTTGAAAGAGATTTGATGACTTCATGTTTTTTATTTCTCCTTTAAGTATCGAATTCCATAGCCGCGGTCCTCGAGATAAGATAGAGAAATCAGTTATTTTAAGTAAAGTCTTCGGAATGTTAAAGTTTTGAAAAGAGTACTTTGTTGGGTATTTGTGATCAATGGTGGAAAATTGATTTTCAAAGTGTTTTGGTAGTAAATTGTTTTGCGATTGAAACATAAATAATACATTTTGGAGAAGGTTCAGTTCATAAACATTAAGAGCTCCAATTTCCCTGAATAATGGTTTTGCATGGGTATATCTGTTAGAATTGCATAAATTCGACACGCTTGCTTTTTTTTTACATATACCTTTTTTAGTACTGAAGAGTATGTGCTTGCCCAAACGATATTGCAATAGTTGATATAACTGTATATAACTGTATGAACGAATAATATATATTTTTTAAGCAAGTTTAATTTAGAAGGTGTTTTATTTTATGTATGACGCCGATTGACTTGGAGATTTTATTTTCTATGTGCAAAATATGATTCTTCCAACTAAGATTTTCTTGAAAAATTATTCCAAGGATTTTCATCGAATGGTCTCTTTCTATATTAATGCTGTTAATCATAAGCTTAAACGTTTTATTTCCCGGAATTATTTTTTCGACTAAATTTTTACCAACGTTTATAAAAAATTCAAAAATTCATTCTTTCTCAGCCTCACCTTTTCGTTTTTGATTTATATTAAACTAAATAGTTTATTGGAATAAAAAGTACATGTAAGTAAATATGAATGCTAAAAAATATTGTCAAAACAAAACGCTTAAAAAAAGTACTTAATTTTTATGCAATAAAACTAAAGTAAAATCGTTGTGTACAGCAATGTTTTTCTTTTGTAGCAGCGCTATATTCACTTTTTTAAAACCAGCTTTATTGGTTAATGTAAGAAAAAAATAACCTGAAAGGTTTCATACGTTAATCTTGCTATGCAATAAAACTTTGACCATATAAACTCAGTTTATATGGTCATATATGGTTTATAAACTCAGTTTATTTGAAAAAAGCAGAACTATAAATTTAGTAAAGTTTTGAAACCGGCCCATTTTTTCAAAAAGAGGGTGACAGTCACCCTACTTACCTCCCCCTCCCCCCTTGTTACGGTCTGTATTATATTATTTTATTTTATAATTTGTTTAATTTAAATACTTCGGCTGAACAAGGTTAAAAGAAGCATTGACTGACGGTAAAGCTTTTGCTATTAACTGTAATTCACAAAACAAAAAATTACGCTCGTTTGCAAGTTCGTGCAAAAGAGTTTTGAATACTAAAGATAAAATTATTTAAAGCAAATTTAGTCTATAGTAAACATTTTATTTAATATTTAATTTAAACATGGACGTATAAGATTATATATAGTATATTATATTATAACATTAAACGCCACGGGCGTATAACATTATACCTCTTATACGCCACGGGCGTATAAGAATGTTATAATATAATATACTAATACTATATCTAAATAAAATATTTTTTTTTTCAAATAATTTCTTAATATTTATCAATCCGAGCAACACAAATAAGACAATTACATACTTTTCCAAGCGGAAACCGTATGTACCATATGCATCTAGTGAAGAAACAATTAATGAAAAATCTGAAATGCCTCCGCATATAAATGCGTCTAGTGAAAGAAAAGTTCGTGAACTACCTGAAAGTTCTCCTCTTACAAATGCGTCTAGTGGAGCGTCTATTAGTGAACTACCCAAAAAGTCTTTTTTTTTTTTTTAATTAAGTTCAACAATATGATGAAAGGTATAGTAAATAAATTTTTGATGTGTCTGTCAAGTTAGAAAAATCCAAATTAATTAAAAAGTGCAATTTTTAAGGATTTTACCCTAATTCTTTGTTAAAATGATTGCGCTTTATCTAGAACTGACAGTATCTTCTGCTACTATTGTGTCATTCAAAAAAAAAAGGGAGTCTAAAAAATCAGAGGAATAAAGAAGATGCTTATATTACTAAGGGTTTCTTCAAAATTTCTCACCAAATGTTTTCAGATTCACCAAGATTTGGCATGCCACAAAGCAGTGTCGTTATATCAGTTTAACGTTGTCTAATATCAAAATATTGCGAATATATGGATAAGCAGATTTCCAATAGGTGAGCTATAGAACGAAATAAATCTTTTGGAAGTAATTCAATGCTTACGTTACCTCGGACAACAAGGAACAACTTTGAAAAGTCATGACGGGAATGACAATTTTAACCAACTATTGCGCCAGCTAGCTATATCGGCCACGCCTGAACGCTCTTTTTCAATGCAGAAGGTCAAAACGTAACTTAGATCAACAATAGTTCAAAAAAGATATAATTCCTTGTCGGAGCTAAATGCGCACGTTGATATTGTCGATAGTCTATCTTTAATAGTAGCCCAGCGATTTACGCAGCTGCACAGGATAAGTGCAGGAGTGAGTTCGGACACATTTACTATAAAAACTTTAATTAGATTTTTTATCACATTTTTGCAAATTTTTCAGTATTTGAAGAAAATTTCCGAAAAATTTTATTCTTAAAACTGGGGCTACAAAAGTTTTTTTGAAACGTCAAAAACATCTGAATTAATTTTAAGATAAATATTTCTTTTAACCCCCCCCCCCCCCGAACCCCAGGTTTATTGCACACCGTTGCCCATGATACATATATAGACACACACACACACACACTCACACACACATAACCGATTTAAAGATTGCTTATTGAAAAATTGCAACCATTTTTTACTGATCCTTCTATAAAACCAAAACCAAAAATTAAAAAAAAAAAAGCGACATTTATACCGATTATATTATTTTGCTGGGGTTTAACTCAAATACTCAACCCAACAGTCTACTTTGTAATTTTATTACTCTCACCTTTGATCGTGACTTGAAACTTTCGACACCTACTAATGATCGTGACTTATCTAATACAGGGTTTGTAGCCAAATATTTATATAAAACTCCCTGACTTTTGAAAAATCAGACAATTTTTCCTGATCATTTTCAACAATGATTTTTATAAAATATTTAAAATTATTATCTATTGTAACAGAAATGCAAAAATTGTACATGCTTTGAATGACAAAACTTATTAAACTTAGCTATTAGTTAAGTTGGATATTAGTATGGATCTTATCATACATGTTAGTATGGATCTTATTATTAAGGATGACTAAGAATGAATACTAAGAAAAACATAAGATTCAGAAAAATAAAATGGGTAACACTAACAAAAACATAATAGCTTAATTGTAAAAAGAGTAACTTCTCTATCTAAATTCCCTAACTTTTCCATGACTATCTAAAGAAAAAAAAAATATGAACTGACATATCCAGGTTTTCCATGACTTTAGCCAAAATTAACGAATTTTCCAGGTTTTCCAGGTACAGTACGAAACCTGTAATAAGCCCGTAAACTTTCGAAACTTACCAACGATCGTGACTTATTCATTAAACCGTAAACTTTTGACAAAGAAAACTTTTCTTTGTCGAAATTTAGTTATTGAATAAATAAATAGAAATAAAAATCAGAATAAAAGCAATAAAAAGTAATCATTAAAACTATATAATATAAATTTTGATATTTTACAGCATTTTGTTCATTCATTTATAGTAGAAAGAAAAATAGTGTAATACACTGATATTATAAATTAAACTCTTAAAAACAAAAAAAAAAATATATATGCACTGTCTAAAAACAATATTTGGAAATCAAGCTGCAATATTTGTCATTCAAACTACATAAAAACTATATCTAAAAATTTCATGGAAAAATAACTTTGTGCTATTTCAACAGAAAACTATAAAGCGAAAAAAAAAGGGGGTGACTTCATTAAATGGCATCTATTAAAAAAGGATAAATGTCATAAAATATTGGCTAGCACAAATTATTTACTATATACATAATATACTTGCAGAAAATACTTATAAGAACCTAGTTTATTGAATTTATCAATAGAAGTATAAATTTTCTTTTTCATAAAAAAGTAAAAAACAAAAACGCAAAACAATTCACTTGGGCAGTCAAAAAAATCCGTTTTGACCATCAAGTGTGTTTCGTTTTGAAAGGTTCAATAAGTTATCTGAAAGGCTTTAAAACAGAAAAATCTTTCACGCAGTGCAATGTAGAATGGTACCAGCCATAAAATAGGAGATAAAAGTCTCCACAATGCAACTGATCTTGAGGAAAAGAAATTAAGTTCTCATCAATAGGAAAATGCATTTATAACAAAACTGACATCAATGGAATACTTTTTTCCTCGTCTTCTTAATTGAAGTTTTTAATGTTTGTTCATTTTTATTATGAATTTGATCAAAATATCTCTTAAAAATTTATTTCAAACAGTTTATTTAGAGGAATTTTACTCGAACCACGCACTTCTGATAATTGAATTTATCAGGCATTCTGTGCAACTATTAAAATGCGCTTAAAATAACAAACTTAAACGACGTCGATTACCACCTAGGCAAACAAAAAAAGTTAATAAATCTACTCAACCATCGAATAAATACATTTAAAAAAGAAATGAAACAACACAACATTAAAGACTACCAAATTACCTGATCGTTCTTGGCGCACAGCAGACCTAAACCCGGGATCTTTTGATAAGTGCATGTCACTCAATGAAAATATTGACTCAGCTAAATTTAAAAATACCACAATTAATAAAACTTGGAAAAGAATTTAATCTCGAGAAAATATACTGTTTAGTAGGTACATTGTGTTTGGTGTTCAGTGGATCAGAATAGATAAAAATTATTGTTAAAACAACTTAAATGAAAGTGATTTTATTATTAGCATAATATAAAAACCGGATAAAATGAAAATATATTACCTGTGTATGTTGCACACCGTATGGCTAACTATATGTTACTACTACTACTACTACTACTACTACTACTACTACTACTACTACTACTACTACTACTACTACTACTACTACTACTACTACCACTACTAGTATAGTAGCAGTAGCAGTAACAGTAGTAGTAGTAGTAGTAGTAGTAGTAGTAGTAGTAGTAGTAGTAGTAGTAGTAGTAGTAGTAGTAGTAGTAGTAGTAGTAGTAGTTGTTGTTGTAGTAGTTGTAGTAGTAGTAGAGTACAAATAGTTAAATCAAAAATAATTATTATAATAATAAAAAAAAACGAAATTGCTATTAGATGTATATTTAAACATAAAATATTTGAACACACATACAGCAGAAAATGAGGAGTAATCAATCATCATCACCATCAATCATTATTAAACATAATCCAACATCAAAAACATTTTACAGGATTACTTTTACAGGTAGGATTACTTTTGATTAAAAATTGTTCAATGAAATTTGGTTTGAACCACAAAGAAAATTGGCAGCAAGAAAGGCAGCAAAAAAGGCAAAAAATAGTAACATTTATAAAAAAATTGATTCCACAAACTAATCAAAATTAAACTTGTGTGGTCATAAGGATATTCCCAGGTCCTGGAGGATGAGGAATCAAGTAATGCAGTGACCATTTTTTTTGTCTAATTGAAAACTAAAGTGACACATTGATACTTTTTTACATTACCACTTCATTAGTTGAACTTTTTTACACATAGTAATGACAGATACCAGAAGTATTTTATATTATGGAGACTCATGTATTAATCACCCCTTTTGTTATTATAAGTTTCCCTAACAAAAAAAAAATGTAACTGAACATCTGAACCAATTGTTTATAAAATTGGGGTTTTCTGTGTAGATTCCACTACTTTGACAGGATTACTGTAAACATCAGTTCGTTGTAAAAATTTCTTTGATTTATCTCAGAACCTCTGAAAAACATAATATTAATGCAATGTCTTGGAAAAAATAAGGAATTTAATAATGGGATTGAAAATTATTACGATATATGAAAATTCAGTGGTTGAATAAATTGACGTTGATATACTATTTATCTTTATATATTACTGTTGCTATATATAGCAACTAATTACTTTGCAATAACTATATTTTCATAACATATTACATATTTATCAAAAATAAACATATACAGTAAAAATAATTTAAAAAAGATCATAAATCCAAAAACACATTGTGGCATCTAAAAATACACAGTGCCATCCAAAATATAATTGATTTACATCACTTCCACAGTAGTAATGTAATTCAACTTTCAGTTCTGTAGTTAAAAAAATTGTTTCATAAATAAATCATTGACTTTGTCCCTTAAAGTTGACTATGCTCATAAAAGTGCATCACTCAACTTATTTCACTGTGCTGCAGCTTGTCAAGGTTCAACACTTAAAACTTTAACCAGTATGACAAGAATTAGAAAAAGGTTAAAAAGTACGAGCCTTGGACTTCAGTTTGGCTAGAACAACCCTGGTACTTTTTAACCGAAAATCAAATTACAAACACACACACAAAAATTGTTAAAACTGACTTACTTTCACTTAGATTGAAGACGTCTGTTCCTAAAGAAGCAAAGTAGGAATGCTTCATTCCTGCAAAAGCATCAATACGTGCTGTAGGTACAAACTTAAATAGAAAAACGCATAAGAAATGTTAAATGCTTTATGTTGAATGTTATATACATTATAACGAAAGTGTTATACATTAATAAATAATTAATATATACATACGCAAATAAATTTTTGTAGCAAATCTAAGCCTTCAAGCTCAATTCTGATAATAAAAAAAAAATTAAGATGATAGTTTTAGTATATAAATATTTCAAAATATTTTTTAATATTTCAAATAATTTTAATACTAACATTTCAGAATATTTTTGAATATTTTTAATAATATTATTTCAGAATATCATTTAATATTAATATTTTTTAGTACTAATATTGCAAAACTTTGTTACTAGTAAAAAATAAGACAATTAGAATTCGAAGTAAATAGGAAACCTTGGTAAGTGATTATGTAATTTCTCAGGTCTATAATTTGGAAAACGACCTACAAAATTCAAAAACACAATAAAAAACTAATTGCAAAGATACATTACAAAAGAGTTAGCCTGAAAAAAAAAACAGTTCAATATTTTCATAATTTAACTCTTAAAAAATGGATCTGTATGCAATGAAAACAATCAGAAAATCAGGAAAAAAAAAAAACGTAAGACATCCAACCCTCAGAATTTGGAAAATGCCGACCCTATTTCCGAGGGTTGAATATCAGTCTCAGAAAGTAATCATCTTATATTGTATGATCAATAATTCAATAATTTAGAAAAAGAATAAATTAAAAATCTGTTACAAACCTGCTATAAATTCTGGGTTTGTTGTTATACCAGGCCATGTTTTTTCATTAGGCGTGCCTAACATCTATAAAAGAAACTTATTCCGGTCAAACAAAAAAATTTTAAAAAGAGATTTAGAGAATGTACTAGAAATATTTACCTTAAATATTAAAGTAAGTTCATTGTCAGATGTAGAACCTGGGAACATGGGTCGGCCAGTTACCATTTCATAGAATATGCATCCTACACCCCTAATTAAAAATATGACCATATTGAATTTATTTAAATTTCAAACAGAGAGGCTCATAAAGGTGAAGACCTTGAGGTGAATAAAAAATGCGTAACATAAGTGCATTGTGATTTGTGATATCATTAAACTCTTTTTATTACCTTTTTGTATTTATGAACATTAGTTTTTTTATAATACCAAAATTGACTTACTGCAATACTACTTTATTTAAGAAATTAATTCAAAAAACAGAGATAACGGGGTTATTTGGGGAAATTTCATCAGAACATATTTTTACTACAAATGTACTTTTAGTGGAAAGTGTTAAACTAACTACCTACATAACTAACTTTAGCGGAAAAGCAGTGGGTTAGATACCTTTAACAAATTAAAATATTAATTTGAATAATTCTTTAATTAAAAACTTTTTTTTAAAAACCTGTACAAAAATTTCTGTTCACTTATTGGATAGGAAATGTAAGGTTGATTGGGCCAAAGAAAAAAAACACCTCATAAAAATTGATATCATACAAAAACTATTGAAGATATCACAAAATAGTTATTGTAATGTAAGCTTATTTAGGTTAAAAAAGTCATAGATTAAAAGCTTTAAGAAATATTGTTAAAAAACAAGTTTCAAAACTTCTTATGAAGAATAGTTAAGATAATTAAAGTTAAGATAATAAATAAGATAGTTCGTTCTCACTATAAATCACTCTACCAAACAAATTGTAAACTACTTGAGCCTGGCTTTTAAAAATAAACTACCTCACACAACCCATAAACTACTTAAACCTGGCACCAAAAATAAACTACCACACACAACCCATAAACTACTTAAACCTGGCATTAAAAAAGAAACTTTTTTTCTATAATTCTTATAAATACCAAATCAGATCTTGCAAAATATTGCAAGAGCTATATTTTGATTACATATATTTTATATAGCTTATTTTGAGTGTACAAACTTGTAAATGAAATGTAATTAAGTTATTAAAAATGTTGTTAAATAAAATTAAACTTTTCCTTTTGTTTCGCTATACAGCATGTTTCGCTTATTATCCTTTTGTTTTCTTAAACTAAAAAAAATATTACTTTTTTAAATTACGCAGCACTTTAAAACAATGGATGACTTATAACTACATAAAACTACTGGTCATTGCTGTAGTTCTTATACCTGAATAAAACTAATAAAGTCTAAATGAGCTCGCTACATAATTAAAAAAAAAAAATTAATTTTTTTATTGTTGATTTTTTCACACTTTACTAATTTTAAAGGAATCTTTACATATTTTTTC